AAAGCTTTTAAAAATATTCATATCTGCCTGTTCATGTCCAAAAAATTATCCAGGTTGCACAAAGCACTTCCTTTCCAGGAACAGTCCACTCAGATCATATTTTGAACTTGTTTTCTAACATTTTATGTTTCTGTGTCTCTCAGATCCCATGTTTCTGGATTGACAATTATTAGTTACCTCCATATCCTCCGAGGAACTTCATAAATTATATAGGGAAAAGTTTCCCTATATAGTTAGTATTTTTGGATAGTTTCCCTGGGTTTTTGTCCTCAATGACTTGCCAGTGCTATTAGATTTCCCTTGAAAACATTTAACTTTCCACCTTATCTAAACCTCTTAATTCTCTACTCTTTTATTCTTAGAAACGAATACTTTATTTTAAAGGATTCCTATAGCATTGACCCAGTTTACAATACTTCTCTTTGGTATCTCTGGAACAATCAGCCTACCTTTCAAACTCACCCTGACAAAATTCAATCAAAGGCACCATGCCCACTCGAATATATTTTCAAAGTCTACAAACATATGTAGATTTCTGAAATGCAGGTGTCTTTTAAAGAGTTTGCATTTCAGGATGAAGACTTCAGAGGTCCATCTTTCTTAATGACCTTTGGAAAATGATCTCTTTGAATACATAGTTCACTTGAAAGACAATATAATTTTTTCTGCTTAATTTACTTTTAACATTGAACTGTAGTTTTTAACATTTATAATTTAATTTAAAATAGGTTAAAATTCAAAACAATGGTGTTGCACAAAAAAAGTGTTACAGTGGGTATGGTGCCTAAAAGAAGTCTGCGTCAAAGTACATTTTAAGTAATAAGCTTAGTGAGATGATGGCGACGCTTATCTTCCAGTTGCTCAGTTCAAAATCTGTGCAGTCATCTCGACTACTCTTTTCTTCTCACATTCACAGTTAACGCGTCATGAAATCTTATTGGTTCTCTTTCAAAACGTACCCAGGTTCCAATCACCATCTCCATCTCTACTGTTATCTTCCTGGTTCAATCTATCATCATCTTTCAACAGGATTACTGCAAAATCTCCTGTCTGATCTTCCTACTTCTCTTACCTTCTTATGGTCTGTTCTTAACAAAATAGCCATCATGATCCTCTAAAAACCTCAGACAGATCATGTCACTCCTCGACTCGAAATCCCGCAAGGGCTCCCCACTTCACTCTAAACAAAGCCTAAGTCCTTACAATGGCCTACATTTTCTGGTTCTTTGTGAACACTCTAACTTGCTTTCCTATTACTCTCATTTCATTCACTTCATTCCAGCTACAGTGGTCTTCTTGCTGTTCCTCAAAGCCAACAGGCGTGAGCCAGCCTCAGGGTCTTTGAATTGGCTGTTGCCCCATCTGAAATCCTCTTCCCCCAGAAATCTCCATGACTGACCCCTTCTCTCCTTCATCCTCTCAGTGAAGTCTTCCCTATCTATTAACAATCACAATCTTCCCTCCCCCTACCAATTCAATCTCCTTTATCTTTCCCTACTTTTTCTTTCTCACAGCTATTTATCACTTTCTAACATATTAAGTAAATTATTTATTATGTTAATTATTTATTGTATGTTTCCTTCTGCAAGAATGTAAGCTCCATAAGACCTGGGATCTTTCTCTGTTTAGGAAACAAATTTATATTTATGTCACGGCTAGGTGAGAAGATCACCTATTCCAGCGGTGTAAGAATTAACATCAGTATATTGGTTTCAAATCTTTTAAAAGTGTGCTCTCTCACTTTAGTACCATAACTTTCTGGATAGAGTTTTCAATTTCAAATTAACTTATAAAATTTGTTTAGTTTTATCAGACATACGACATGGACCGATGCATCCACAGACATTTGGCAGGTGTGAAATGGGAATGGGCGGATCAAGACTCAAACTGCCCAAGTCCCTTAGAGAAATGAAAGCATTGGCTGAATAGGCTCTTCTTGCTTTGTCCTAAATAATCTTAAAACAGATGGCAAAAGCTAAATACTAAGTCTGCTGCCATGGAAACCACTATCACAGTAGCCCACTCTAGAGCCCCACCTACAAGATAAATGTTTGTCTTCCTATTGTTACGATTGGAACCTGCCAACTTTCACTCTCAGTCCTTCTAGAAGGTACAGCTACTGTACACGTACTAGCCTGACACAAAAGTCTGGGAGAGACTAGTTCATACACGATACCACCTTAAACATTGTCAAACCCTACAACATACAGAAAAAGAGTTTTACATAATTTGCTATGTTATTCCGCAAATTCCATCTTTATTATATATAAATTCATGAATCTTACTTTAATATTGCAAGCCTGCTCCATCAACCTTCTTGCATTTTCCTCTGCCCTGTATCTCTTTGGAAGCTGAACTCTGAAGAACTTTAAAGCACCTTCAAAATCAGCCTGCAGAAGATCTTCCTTTGAGGTCTGCAAAGTAATCACCAAGATCATCATTACATTTTAACCTGCAATCAGGACAAACACATTACAAAAAGAATTTATATTTTCCTGAATATACTTTTATAGCCAGGAGCTAAGTGAGTTCCAAAAATTTTTAGAAGATATTTCTAACATTTCAATATTTAAAAGATATTGCTATTAGCTGAAATAAATCACCATACATCACAGAAGCAATCTAAGAGTTAATTAACACACTATATTTAATTTATATTGCCTGAAAATTATAATGGTGGATACTGGCAAAGCTTATCAAGTTATATCTCTGGGAAAAGAATAAGGCCAATAAAGGGGAAAAAATGAACTCTGGGACGAATCTGTGACTTTAGCTTGATGAGGATTTTAAGGATATTATTACAAAGCTGGCTGAAGACATAGACAATGCAATCAAAGCACATCAGAGTTACACAACAAACACCTAATGGGAAGACGGCTTTTCAAATAATGATAGCAGCAGCTCAAGCCAGAAAAATAAGAAATTGATCCTACACCTTAAGGAATGCTATGAAAAAGTAAATGAAATAAATCACTTAACTACTGACATCTTAGGAAAACTATTGTTTGCAAAATTTACCTCTTTAAAAAATAACAACCACATGGAGATAAATACATCTGTGCACAGAAAAAAGATTGAAAAGAAACAAAATGTTTATCTGGATAGTGGGAATATAGGTGTTTTTTTTTTCTTTATATTTTGTTCTAGTTTCTGTAGTAACACTTTTGTAATAAAACAATGAAAATTTTAACAAACAACTACAAATCTCCTTTGGCAAACACTATGATATGTACATATTGTAGATTTAGGTAGATGGGTACACAGAAGCCAAAAAGAAATCAGATGTTTCAGAGTCCATACCTAATTGTCAAAAACTTCAATAATTAAAAAAAATAGTCCATAGATAGCATAGAACTATATGCTGGCTCAAAATGTTACTTTATTTAAATTCAAATGTATGGGTGATTAGCCCTAAAGGCTACATCGAAAAAGTATATAGGACGCCAGAGAAATTCCTGCTCACAACAGGGCCTGAGTTCTTGTCATCACTGCCCTGGTCCAAGTCATTGTCATCTCTCACTGAGCCACTGCGGTATCCTCCCAACCGTTCGCCCTGTTTCTGCTCTTGCTCTCCGCAATCTACTCTCCTTACAGCCAGATGATACTCCTTCAGATCTTGTCACTCTTCCGTGACAGTCCTCCAATGGTTTCCACTGTGCTCAGAATACAATCCACAAGCTTTGCCAGTGCCACAGGGCCTTTCGTGATCTGAGGTCCCTGCCTTCCCCTCCAGCCTCATCTTAAACTTTTTATCCTTGTTCTCAACCTCCAGGCACACAGGCTTTCTTTCTATTTTTTTGTCCACGCCAAATTCATTCCCAACTAAAGGCAATCCACGCTGTTTCCTCTACCTGGAATATTCTTCTCCCAGGTCTTCACAAGGATAGCAACTTTTGTGATCTGATCTAGGTTTTAGCTCAATAGGATCTGAGTGAGGCCTTCTCTGAGCATTTAAATTCTTCCCCTCATCCCATGCCCCATTAAACCACTTTCCAGTTTTACGTCTGTTCCCCTTCTTCCCCCCCTTGTCTGTCTGGTTCACTGCTACATCCAGAGCAACAAGAACAACACCCAGAAAGATAGGAGGCACTCAATTAAAATTTGTTACAGAATGAATGAATGAATGAAATCTACTTTCATCTCTCTTTTGCTATAGATACCATTTTTCTTCCCTTCTCTTCTGCCCTTTAAATAGAAACATGTAAAAGAAAAGAATATATTAATTAACATACCAGGCAGTTTCACAAGGGTATAGTAGGTTGGCCCCAGCTTTATGTCTGCAAACTAGTGATCAGAAAACAGACCTAAGCTAACAGTGGCAGTGAAAAGCAAAAACTCCAGTACAGTACATCTCAGATTTATTTCCTCCCTCGCAAATACTTTGATGTGATGACAGTAAGTGGTACAAAGAGTTTAGCATGCTATCAACTCACCTTAACTTAGTCGGAAAAGGCAGTTACTGGAAACAACTTTGGACTGAAGGAGAGCTTCTCTAACTAAAATATCAACTGCTGAATTATTGGGAAAGCATCCAGCTACCAGCTACACCCTAGTCTTCCTTTTTAACATGTGATACCAGTTCTGATGACTAGCTGTCTGGTAATGGTTTGGGCAATTCAAGACAGGTTGCTTACAGAGTTTGTACGGAAATAGGATTAGCCTGTTCTTCACTACTCAAAGGCCTCTGAGGGAATCTCTTCTATTTTCCATGCAATTAACTTCTAGTTACCTGGAAACAGATGCCCCCAAATGGCGGGGGGCAATCCCTTGCCTGCAGGCAGTAGCGTAGTTATCTGATTTCCTAATACTGCCCACGGCCTAGTTTCAAGTCTAGCCTTTTAGCTCACATGAAAGCAGAAAGACTGGGATGGAGGATGAGGGATCCTACATTCTCACACACTGGCCCTCTGGGGTCAGGCAGGAACGGCTATGTAGGCAGAGACATTGTTTGGAAAAGGACATAGTCTCAGGGGATGTACAGCAAGGGGCTCCCCACCAGGGTGGGGCTGACATCCGACTCAGTTTGAGTCTCTGGACACCAGAAGCCAGAGTACCCTGTGGCTGTCCTTGGTGTTGATGCTCTAGATCACATGGCTGGCACAATTCAGGTAAGCTCAAAAAGAGAGGAGCTCTGACAATCAGAGCAGGGAGGCCCAGGTATACAAGGTATGGAAACTGCATCTAATTCAATTCTCTAACCTCAGCTTCTGAAAAGTACTTGGCACATTAAAGGTACTCAAACAAGGTTGCAAAAGATGGAATAAATTGATTTTAATTCCAACTCTGGCTAACTCATGGTGTTGTATAACTTTTCCCATTTTAAAAATGGGAATATCTTCAATCTCAAGTATTTTAGAATGAAGTAAGTGAAGGTATTTTATGAGTCATTTTTCAAACTCTAAAAGAAATATAAGGGACGATAGTTTGGTAAATTGTCTCTGTGTTGCTCAAATATGCTCAGATACTGATATTTTAGTGGCTAAAAGCAGTATCCTGTTCTCACTGACATTTTTAATTCCATAAAGCAGGCAGTCTAAGTTGGGAGAACTTACATTCTTTTTATGGACTGCAATACAGCTAATTTCATTGTGAATAAAAACAAAAATGCCAGTATGTAAAAAACGCATGGACAAAAACCTTGCTTGCCAGTATTCTAGAAGCAACCTGCGGTCTTACTTTGATTCTGATGGGCTTTTTTCTCCAATTTCCTATCTTTAAGAGACTTCCATAATCATTAGTATAACCTCAAATGCCTTTGTAATGCCATAAGCAGATTTTAAGTTTATAGGGATAACTCTCCATTTTCCGACAACTGTATCCAAGCAGTTTTTCCCTCTGCCATGGAGGGATAGACACTTCCTGTTTTGCAAAGATTTAGGCGTCTCGATAAGAACTTAGTTGTTTGGTTTTTTGAAAGAATACTTTCTTTTTTGATCATAATTTGTATATGTCTGTGTGTGTATGTCTATATGGTTGGGTCATAGGTTGGGTAATTTATATTTTTTTCTGATTACATATTCATGGCCCAAAAGAAAAAAAAAATATTTTTTTAAGAAGACTAACATAAGGTCTCACCATCCAGAGATAAACATAATTAACATTTTGTTACATTACTTAGAGTCCTTTTTTCTCATCCTTACACACACATCTTACATATATTTAACAAAATTTGAATCATATTGTACATATTATTTTGTTAAATATATATGCTTCACAACTATTGAGCATTAATGTAACATCAGTGCAAACTATAAGCAGCAGTGCTTTCCATGGAAGTAAAACATGGCTTCCACCGGGCTCCAGAACCAGCTCTCACACATACTAATTATTAATGAGCTGGCTATGGAGATAACTTAATTAATGGTTATAATTAAGTTTATGACTGTATGAATATTAATCCTTTACCCTGACAATGAAGAGAGGCTTAACACTTGACCTTGTGATGGTAAGACCCCCTAAAACTGTACCCCTAAAAGGCAGACTAATACTTCAAGAACCAAACCACATACCCGAAAGAGGTTGTGCTGGCTTCTGGTTTATCGTTACACCTCTGTGCTCCCTACACAGAATCCCATCAGGCTAGAAATATCGATTTAAAATGGAAAGGCTGTTCTTCACCTGGGAAATTCTTAGAGTGTTTCTATTTTGCCTTCTAAACCATAGTGAGGGGAGAGTAAAATAATGAAAATGCAACTACTTTCCTGACATTATATGTTAAGTAATGTCAGCCAGAAGATAATATAAACAAGAATTAGGCAATTTGAATAAGCAAAGACATATTTTTCTTCCCTTGTAAAATAAAGAACTCTACCGGCTTTTAAATAAGAACTATTATAACTTCTAGAAATTAGTGGCTTTACTATCACCCACTTTTTGCTCCCTAAATTTTCTGACAAATTCTTTTAAATGATAATACAAAACATATTTACCAAGTACATCTTCAAAGTTGACATTACTTCTTCTTTCATTTGAATAGGATTATATAAAAAGATTAAAGACATTTAATCGAGTCTTACTTCTTTTTCCTTTCAGCTACATATGAAGAAATATCCACAGGGAAAGGTAAGTAGGATGTTAATGTAACTATCATTTGCACTTACCTCAGGAAAATGAATTAAGCAAACTGCCTGGCACACTATAGACATCAACATAAATTTGCTCCATGAATTTATAAAGGGTCCACTTCAAGCATATTCAGTATTATAAAGTCAAAATTTATACAATGCAAATTAGGGAATAGATTTAGGACTTATCTTAATATAAAAATTGAGTTTTAGAGTTTGGAGGGCATAAGAAGTACACAGGTACACATGGCAACTTCTTTATTTGGATTTTGGTTTTCTGTGGGATTTTTTTTTTTTTTTTTTTGAGACAGGGTCTCAGTGTGTCACCCAGCCTAGAGAGTACAGTGATG